ATAGTATCTGAATAGTTTTACACTAAATTTGCACCCAAGCAAAAGAGGAAAAACTTAAAGAAATAATGTGCTCTTAGCTAATTAAATCCCATTTTCCTCTTGGGAGTTAGATGATGGAGCAGTGGTACTAGCAGAACCAAAGGGTCTAAAAGTGTGTTTGTGGCATCAGCACAGCAAAGCACACAGCTGAAGGCCACCAGCAGAGCTGTGACATCAGCAACTGTTTACGTAATACATCAGTGCTGAACTTGATTTTCAGCCCAGCACAACCGCAGTCCTGTGCCCTTGAAATTTATGAATATTGGACAGTAAAGATGTTCAAGAAGCAGACTAAGGTTCTAACACTATTTTAATAAACACAAGCACACACTGGTTTACTTTACTATTTTTCAGAACATTAGATTAGGACTTTTTCCAAAGAAATTTGCAACATTAAAAACTATAATACTTTTCTGATCTAAGTCCAAAGCATTCATCATGAAAAATGCACAATCTAAAAATGTTACCTCTAAAACATGACATTTAAGTTGTAGTTTAAACCAGAAAAGATTAATTTCTTATAGTTTTTTTTTTTGTATTTTGAACTCTAGTTCAATGGTTTGCAAATTAGGACATGCATATTTGCATGCTCCTGGGGGTTCACTTTCCAAAGGAGTCCTTTAATGATACTTCAAAGGAAACTAGTTGCAATTTCAGAAGAATCTGTTTCCTAACATTTCCCCTTCCCCTTTCGCATCTATGTGTTCTTCCAGGTATGTGTTCCGGGCAAAAGGAAACACACCTATTACCCATCAGAGATCTTATGATACATGTCAAACATTATAAAACCCTCAGAAACACTCATTAAAAAGACAACTGGAACTGTTGGTATAGGTGGGGGGTGGAAAAATGGCTCTAATAACTAGATAATAATCTTTTCATAAGCCTACATGTTTTCAATAATTTGCTTTCAACAAAACTGAAGTATGGCCTATTCAAGTTATTAGCTGATATTACAAATCACTTTGGTTGTTAACTGGAAGAATGGAATGACTCTACTGTTATAAGGTTTCTTCAACTCCCCACCCATTTTCATTATTCTTCAGAACAATAAATTTCATCTACTTAAAGAGTAGAAAAGAATCATGTTATTCTAGAAGTAAGTGACAGTCATCCTGGAATGTCTTGGTTTGTTATTTAAGAAATTCAGGATTATATTCTTGAAGCATTTTATTTTATTTTTGTACAGGGCCAGTAGTCGACAACACTCAAAGAGACTCAGAGAAGAGAGAATACAAAATAATCAAAATAAATTAAAGCTACTAACACATTGCTGATGTGGGAGATGGTGGCCTATGGTGGAGTATATTTTTTAACTAATATAATTTTCCCACTTAGGGAACTTATGAGGCCAGAATCTACACATCTGATTGGGAGGAAGTGGACATATTCTCTTTCAAGTGCACACTAAGTAGCCCTTGGCAATGAGAGAGACGGGTGTCCCACGTGCCACTTGCAAAGGCCGTGGAAGCCATAGAAGTTGGCTTCACTCCTACAAAAGTCCAGGACCCCGGCTCCCAGGCTAATCAAGCTGTTGGAAACTCTGCAGCCTAAGTGTAGAATGCCCTCCACAGTTAGTAGAAGAAGTTTTCTGGTAAGGGTTTTTAAATTTCCATGAGACTTTTAAACCTGAGCTACCATGCCAGGTGGTTCAGGATAAGCTCAAGCCAAAAGGAAAGTGCCTGGAGAGCTGGAAGGTTTAAATCTGAAAGCACAGGGCATGAAATGACAGCCTCAGTGTGAAAAATGGTGTCTGTGGCAGAAACGTGGAGGAGGGAAGAGACACGCATGGTGGTTTACATGTGGTAAGGCTCAGACATTTCCATAGATGCCCCGGTTAATCCAAGTCCATGTCATCCACTGCACACAGAGACACTTCAGGTTACTTCTCATCATGGTCTTTTTATGACACTCTGTGCAGCCATAAACACGGTCTGCAGATTTCATTAGGCCCAGGCAAGTTCTGACCGGCAGCCTGATTTAATGCCCTGTGAAACATGCGTTACAGTATCTGTGCAGTTATCTCCCAGCAAATCCTTGCAGCCTAGAGAAAGCCTTAAAGACATGTGCAGATGCTGACATTTATGGAGACAGATAGTAGAGGTAGCCCTGGGATGATGGGGCTAAAGGTGGAATAATAAGGGTCAAGAACTGTTGCAGGACCTGCTAAACTGCAATCACGCTCAGCGTGCACGATGTCCCTGAATACTCTGTGGACTCCTCACAAGCAAATAGCCCACAGCGTGTCCTGTGGGCCTATCATCAGGGAAGGGGATAATGAGGACAGCCAGAGACAATCACTTTACTGTGGCACCTGGCAAAAACTTGATTTTCCTTAGGGGAGAAATTAGGCCAACTCATTAGACAAAACATCAGTGATTTTAAGAAACTTGACACTTGTCATTATAGATATCAACATGTCAAATCCTCAGTTGATGGTTTATACCTTTGTGTAAACAAAGCTTCTCTGTGTCTTTGGTTTGGAGTATTCACAGCCCATTTCCAGGGAACACAGAGGCCTATCAGCCTCCAACCCCGTCTGCCCTCAAGTCTCCATGAAAGACTCCGGCCCTTTCGGTCAGTTCTATCTTGCCGCAAGCGGCATTCTGATTTTTATTGCACTCTCTCTGGATCTGAAAACCTGTGATTTTATGGTTCTGAAATCATAGTAAAATATTATTCTCCTGATTTTTGACTTGACAGGCTTCGCATCAAGAGGTGAACTATCCTTGTCGAAACACTGGTCAATTGTTGCAACATCCAGTCTGTTAGATAAAGCAAGGCATCGCTTCTTGAATTCTTTCTATCGAAGTAGAATTTAGAAAGAATTTAGAATTCCTAAAAAAAATGTAGAAGCTGTCAGCAATGGTACATTATCTTCAGACTGTCGAGTGCAAGGTTTGCCTGACAAGTTTCCACGAGAGACTGAATGGAGTCTCCCTTTCAATATTCAGGTCATTGCTCGCTGACTGGTCCAACCACCCAAGGACTTGGCTCGGGGCTGCATTGCATACATGCCTGGGAAAGGCTCTCACGGTGTTCTCAGCAGGCCCTTGGCAGTTCAGACTGAGCACCCATAACTAGCACTTAATACATCTGTCCCATCTTGCTGGTGAGATGCACTGCTTTCTGGAGCCAACATGGTGCTGATGACCGCAGCAATGATTTTCTCAAAACCCCACCAAATGATTCCAAGAGGTCATCGTAATAAAAGGGGGGAGGGGGTTTGCAGAGGTGAAGAGTTGGAGATGGAAGGAGATCAAGAAAACCTGTGCTAATGCCTCCAGTGAAAGAAAATGAGAGCATCCCTTCCTCCCTTCCTCATGGCTGCTGGAGCAAAAGGCGATGAGGACCCTCTGCTCCACCCTGAGCCATGTTGAACACCAGTCGCAGGAAAAGCCACAGTGGGATTGTTTAGCTTAAAAAAATTTGATTTACATAATTTTATCTTGTATTTGCCCAAGGACAGGTTATTACAAAGGCCTCACCAGAATTCTGCAGGTATCATTCTACTCAGAGCCAGAGCCCAGCCTTGCAAAGCTCAAGGCAAGGTTACCTGAGCATTGCACTGATCTCCAAGGTAGAATCTGCAAGAGCCCAGTGAAGGTCTTTTGGGGCAGGAAGTGGAGGGGAGGGATATGGAATTTTGTTTCTGAATTCACTGTTAATTAGAACAATAATAATCATGTTCCTTTTCTTACAGTTTTCTTCCAGGCCCTAAAGGTAACCCTACATAGATTTACTTGGAGAAGATAATCAAGAAAAAAAAAATGTTTTTCCTGCCTCTTCTATTATTTCTTTTTCTTACTTTAGAACAGCAAATTTCTTGTCAGCAGATGTCTTGTCTACAGAGAAACCCAACATCCTAGCTATCGAGTAGGTAGGAAGGACAGTGTCGTGAAAGACATAGTTAAATTAGGGGCACAGCTGACTGTGTGATTCTGGCTCTGGGATAGGATGGTGCATTTGGTTGGCATATAATCGCTGGCTTTCCAACACAAGGTGACTTAGTCAGCAGTGAGCTGGGGCCGGGGCAGGTCCCAGATCCTTCTTTCAAATGTGTTTGTACTCTGCATTTAATTATTCATTAACAAATATTTATGGAGCCACCAGCAAGAGAGCACCGTGATTAAAAAGCATGAGTTCCAGAGACTGACCACCAGGGCTCAACGCCACCTGTGCCACTTATAGCACTGTGACCTTGGCTGATTATGAATTCCTCAAGCCTCAGTTTCCTCCTCTATAAAAGAGGGAGTTCTTTTCCTGTAGGATTTGTGAGGATCAAATGAGATAAGGTCTGTACAGTGCTCAGCCCATTGTAGGAACTCGCAGCCAGTTTATTAGGCAAACCGGGTTTGATCGGCTGTGAGCAGGAGACACGTTAAGTTGCTCCTCTATTCCCTTTCTAATTCCGTCGGGTAGGTTCTGTTAGGTTCCCTGTCACTCTCAGATAATAAAAAGTCCTCTGATCAGTTTTCATGCCAAGGAGAGTCTCCTTTCAGAAATTCAACTGTTTAGCCTGGTATACTAATTGAATCCTGGAGCTCTAGTTAATTTAGAGGTTCTAGCTACCTGGCTTGCCCCAGGTCAGGAAGCCCAAATAGAAGTGAGAGTAGCCACCTCCTACCTACTCGATAACTATGATGTCGGGTTTCTCCAAGGTCAGGGTCAAAGGAGATTACAAGAAAGAGCCCAGAGGTATAGCAGGTAGAGCTGGGGCTGACATTGAGGTTCTGTGCTTGGTAGGTGGCCCCACCCTCTGCCCCTCCCATTGGCATTTGTCAAATCCCTGCCCCTACTTTGGGGACCTTTGTCAGGCTCGGTGGGGGAGGAAAGAGCACGTGACCCGCTCTCCAACCACAAATCACACCGGACTAGGGTGGAGATCCGTGGGCTGACCCTCAGGTTCAATGGCGTTTTGATCATTCTCCTGTCCCCACACTCTCTGCCTTTTCCTCCAGTGCCCTGGCTGGTGCTGAGCGAGATTTTTCCCGGTGGAATCAGAGGACGAGCCATGGCTTTAACTTCGAGCATGAACTGGAGCATCAACCTTCTCATCTCGATGACGTTTTTGACTGTGACGGGTAAGGACGCATCCTCTTCCTCTAGTCTAACACCTTTGTGTTCTTAGGACGAAAGTAAGGGAAGCACACTCAACTGAAAAACATTTCATTGTGGACATTTGCAGACACATTCCAAATTAAGAAAGGGGCAAGGAACCTGATGTACCCACCACCCAACTTAAAGGGTTGTCAACCTTAATGCATTATAACCCACTTGTCCCCCCTCCCCACACACACATTGTTTTAAAACACATCTCAGACAACTGTCATTTGTCTATAAAATTTTAGTATGGATCTCTAAAAGATAAGACATTTAAAAACCATAACAACAATATCATTATCAACCTAAAAATATTATTAAGAGTCCTTGGTATCACTATCCAGTCTGCATTCACATTCTTCAAAGTCCCTTACAATTATGTTTTATATTTTGTTTGTTTGAATCATAACCCAAATACAGGGTGTCCCCCCGAAAAATGTATACACACTTAACAGCTGATAGCTCAGTTGATACTTCTTTCTTTTCAGAATTTAACCCATTGGAATTTATCATTCAAAATATGCATACATTTTGGGGGGACACCCTAGATATAACTTACAGCTGATTGATATGACTCTTGCATTTTGTAGGTTTCATCTTCTTTTTCCTCCCTGCCCCCAATTTTATATTTCTAATGAAGAAACTGGGTCTCTAGTTTCATAGCTTTCCCCAGGTGGGATTTTGCTGATGTTGTCATATCGCGTGAACTTCCGTCCTGTTTCCTGTGAACAGCTGTTTAGATCTGCAGGCTTGAGGAGACGCTCTCGTCTCTGTTTATAAACGCCCTCGGCGGCGATGGCCCAGGTCCATTTTCATTGCTTCCACACTTTATCTCTAGTACTTCTCTGAAAGAATTTTCTTCTATGACTATTAGAAGGAATTTCTAATAATCATTAGTTATTTGCCTACCCTGAAGTAGGGGTCATCTAAGGAAGGAAAGATAAATACTTTAAACTTTTCTCCTATTTTGGTTCTTGAAATAATGAGGTGGTTCTCCAGGACCCTCCAAAATTGACCGAGGAGTTGAGTTTGCTTTCTTTCCTTTTTTCCCTTTACGTATAGATACACATGTATCTATCGAGGCTGCAAACAAAGAAACCAGATCATCTAAATCTCCACAAGCCTCCAGGGCAGTGATGTTCAGCCCGTGTGCGGAGAGAATTTTGAAAACACGCAGTGCCTGACTATGTAGCCCGGGCACTGGCCTCTTTTCCCTTAGGCTGTCAAGTGAAAAAGGACAGCAGCCAACACAACGATAGCCATCCAGTGTGAATGAATCAAAATTATACGTATTTTCTGTCAGATCAGCAAAATGTATAATCTGTTTTTTGGAGTGCCACAGAATTTTAGTGACTAGTTTAGGTGTGCCATGAGATGAGAAAGGTTGAAAATCGCTGCTCCAGATCTAAACAGCAGTTCACAGGAAACATGAAGGACAGAAAGTCATGTGATATCACGACAATCAGCAAAATCCCGCCTGGGGAAGATTGTGCAACAAATGACCCAGTTTCTTTATTAGAAATATAAAGTGAGGGGGAGGAGGAAAGGAGAAGTGGAGATAAAACCTACCGATTTTTAGAGACATGTCAATTAATTGTAAGTTATGTATTTGGGTTGTGATTCAAAGAATAAAAGGTGATGATAAAACCATAAAGAGAATGTGAATAATATGTATATATTACATATAAATTCTCAAAAGTGGATGTATACTCAAAAATGTATATATCTGAATTTTGTCAACCACTTTTGTTTTTCTTTTTTTCTTTACTAGGCAGCAGCTTTTTAATTTGAACACACCTTCAGTACAGTTCAAACATCAACCACCTTTTTTGAGTACATCTACTTTTGGAGTTGTTAAATAAGCATGGTTTGAGTTTTTATATAAAATGTAAAAATGTTTGTATCCTTCCTACTTTTTTAGAAATAGCCCAAGAGTATCTTCATTTTCATTGGTTTGCAGGAAGATTTTAATTTTTTCCTTGATCTCCTCGGTAACCCATTCATTGTTTAATAACATGCTATTTAGCTTCCATGTGTTCAAATGTCTTTGTGTGGTCTTCTTGCAATTGATTTCTAGTTTCATGCCATTGCGATCTGAGAAGATGCTTGATATGATTTCAGTCTTCTTGAACTTGTAGAGACTTAGTTTGTGCCCTAACATGTGGTCTATCTTTGAGAATGTCCCATGTGCACTTGAGAAGAATGTGAATTCTGTAGTTTTGGGGTGTAATTCTCTGTAGATATCTATTAAATCTATTTGGTCTAGTGCTTCATTTAGAGTCTCTGTTTCCTTGCTAATTTTTTTGTCTAGAGGATCTATCCAGTGATGTCAGCGGGGTGTTGAAGTCCCCTGCTATGATTGTATTGCTATTGATTTCTCCTTTGAAGTTCTCCAGAAGATTTTTAATATATTTTGGTGCTCCTATATTGGGTGCATATATGTTTATCAAGGTTATATCTTCCTGTTGGATAAATCCTTTCAATATTATGTAGTGGTCTTCTTTGTCTCTAGTTATGGCCTTCGTTTTGAAATCTATTTTATCAGATATGAGTATTGATACCCCAGCTTTTTTTTTTTTCTTTCCATTTGCTTGGAAGATTTTTTTCCATCCCTTCACTTTCAACCTATGTGAGTCTTTTGTTGTGAGGTGGGTCTTGTAAACAACATATATGTGAGTCATGTTTTCTTATCCAATCAGCTACTCTGTGTCTTTTTATGGGAGCATTCAATCCATTTACATTTAAGGTGATTATTGATATGTACTTATTGCCATTTTTGTTTAGTGTGGTTCTATTTTTCTTCCCATTTCTCCTGCTAATTACAGCAGTCTTTTTAACATTACTTGCAGTGCTGGTTTGGTGCTAATGTATTCCCTTAGCCTTTTTTTTTGTCTGGGAAGCTCTTTATTTGACCTTCTATTTTGAATGATAGCCTTGCTGGGTAGAGTAGTCTTGGATTCAGATCCTTGTTTTTCATGACCTTGATTACTTCATGCCATTCCCTTCTGGCCTATAGTGTTTCTTGTGAGAAGTCAGCTGAGAGCCTTATGGGGTTTCCTTTGTAGGTAACCTGTTGTTTATCTCTTGCTGCTTTTAGGATTCTTTGTCTTTAATTTTTGGCAGTTTGATTACTATGTGTCTTGGTGTGGCCCTGTTTGGGTTCTTCTTACTTGGGGCTCTCTGTGCTTCTTGAACTTGAATGCCTTCTTCCTTCACCAAATTAGGGAAGTTTTCTGTCACTTTTCTTTGAATATATTCTCTAACCCTTGCTCATTTTCTTCTTCTTTGGGGACTCATATGATGCGAATATTATTACGTTTCCAGTTGTCCCACAGTTCTCTTAAGCTGTCTTCCTGTTTTTTAATCGTTTTTTTCCTTTTGGTTTTCTCATTGGTTGATTTTTTTCTACCCTGTCTTCTAATTCACTGATCTGGTCCTCAGCTTCCTCTACTCTGCTTTTTTAGACCTTCCAATGTGTTTTTCATTTCTGATATGTCATTCTTCATTTCTTCTTGGTGGTTTTTAATTTCCAACTGGTTGATTTTCAACATTTCTATGTCTTTACTCATGGTGCTCATGTCCTTACACATGCTGTTGAGCTTCCTCAAGATCATGGCTCTGAATTCTAGTTCTGTTAACTTGCTTAACTGCACCTCATTTATCTCATCTTCGGTAGAGGTTTCTTGTTCTTTCATTTGGCTTTTGCTTCTGTTTTTCACCATTTTGGCTATCACAGTGGACTTTGGAGTCTGCCAAATTTTCCCTGTGGGTGTTGGTGTTCTGCTGTTTGTGGCTCCCTCTCCTGGGTTTGGATGAGGCAGGGAAACACCACTGTGAAGTCTTAACTGTCCTGGTTAGAGTTGCTAGCCCAGGGAATGGTAGTTAACCTCTGGCTTTTGTGCCTGGAGGCTATTAGTAGTGGTCACCTGAAGAACCTTGGTTTCTGAGTTGACTGAAAAACTCCCTCAGGTGCTCAGTGTAAGAGGATTCCCGAGGGTGGGGCAGATGCTGGTTGTTCATGGGCCTCTATTAGCATTTCAATGGCCACTGGGTGGGGTTGAATCTCCGAGGGAGGGGCTGCCCCCTCTCCCCAGGGCCCTGGGAAGGAGTAAGATGACCACAGTCCTGCGTGGCTGCACTCAGCAGAAGCTCTGAGCACCCTCCAAATCCCGAGTTTCCCCCACAGTTCCAGTCCAGTCTGCCCTCCCTTTGCCAGAGCCCAAGGTGAGTGGCTGCTGCCAATTTAGTCTCTGTCCGGGCTCTGCGTCGTGGAGCCGCCTGGGACTTTAACCTGAGGGTGCTGCTCCCAGCTGAGGGTGGCACCAACCTAGGGTGTAGCACCCAGCCAAGGCTGCAGGACCCAGCCGAGGGCGTAGCACCCAGCCGAGGTGGCTGCAGGACCCAACTGAGGCGGCCGCTGGTCCCAGCCGAGGCCGCAGGTCCCAGCCGAGGGCGCAGCTTCCAGCCGAGGGCGCAGGTCCCAGCCGAGGGCGCAGGTCCCAGCCGAGGGCGCAGGTCCCAGCCGAGGTGCCCGCTGGTCCCAGCCGAGGGCGCAGGTCCCAGCCGAGGGCGCAGGACCCAGCCGAGGGCCCAGCTTCCAGCCGAGTCTGCAGGTCCCAGCCCAGGCCGCTGCGGACCGTGGGCTCCCGGCCCCTCTCACGTCCTCGCAAGCCTGCCAGGATGGAGTCAGTGTCCCTGGTTATGTGGTCCTTCAAGTTGTCTTTCGGTTGCCCCTTCCTGACGATTTGTCTTTATTTTCGCTGTAATTCCAGTTTGGTCCTGGGAGACGGTCTGTGCAGCTCCATTCACGCCGCCGCCATTTTTTTCTCTCCCCAGAAATAGCCCAAGAGTGAAGGAAACAAAGGAACTGGTCATTAACACCAACATTCTCTCCTACCCAGGTCACACCCAGAGGCTGTGCCCTTCACCTTCACACACACACACACACACACCTCGTCTGCTGTTTGATGTAGAAAAGGGAAATATAAAAGGTGGAATGGAAATGATGAGGGACAAGAACAGATGACATAAACCTCTGGGAAGGACAGAGAATATGTAGGATAAGCTGAAGAAGATTCCGAAGTTCTTCATGGGCTTTTGGAACAAATGTCCCGGGATAGCCCTGGCCAGTTTGGCTCAGCGGTTAGAGTGTCGGCCCGTGGTCCAGAAAGACTCGGGTTTGGTTCCTGCTAAGGGCACGTACCTCGGTTGCAGTTTGTCCCCACCCCAGATGGGGTCGTGTGAGGGGCAGCCACTCGATGTGTCTCTCTCACATCGATGTTTCTCTCTCTCTCTTCCCCCCTTTCTCCCTCCTGCTCTATCTGAAGATATATGCAAAAATGTCCTCGGGTGAGGAAATAAATAAATAAATAAATAAATAAATAAATAAATAAATGTATGTCCTGGGATAATCTGAAATCGGTAGATGACATTTAACTGAGCTAAATTTGAAATTCTATACTTAGCCCTGGCCAGTTTGGCTCTTCGGTTGGAGCGTCAGCCTGTGGACTAGAGAGTCCTGGGTTCAATTTCCGCTAGGGGCACGTACTAAAAAAAAGAAAAGAAATTCTATACTTACTTTTAAAAAATCAATTTTCCAAGTAGCAGATAAAAGGGCAGCGAGCCCTTGGACACCACCAACCTTTTTAGTGGAAATTAGACTATGTCAATAAACGCAGAGTGTCCAGAGAGACAGACTTCCGCGCAGTGGTCATGTCATAGCTGCAGTATTGTGCTCCACCCCGAGTCAAACATTTTGAGAAGGTTGCAATATGTCCACTAAGCAAGTGCAATCTGGGTGACATGGGCATGTGACCTCTTGTTACAGAACTCAAGGGGTTCGCTGCTTGGGTGTTCTATTCAAGAATGAGATGTGGTAGGTAGTTTTGTTTGCAGCAATTAAAGGAGACAGGGGATTAATGTCCAACGCTCAGCCTCCCTGGAGGGAGGCTTAGCCATTGCTTATATGCACTATTTGGTCAGTTACATGTTCTTACACTTATTAGGTTGTGTTCCTGTCAAGTGTATCCTCCTTACAGCTGGTCTGCAAAATACTGTGCTACATTTTAACATTTAGTAAGAATCGCATTCAGTAAGAATGACCCACACCTTGAGATGCTTGTCCTATCTAACATTATGGTTTGGAAAGAATAGCTGAGGATATTTGACTTGGAGGAGAAATAGTTGAGCACTGTCTTAAGGAGGAATGGGGAGAGCTGGTCCAGAGGACAAAGCAGAACCTCTGAACAGGCTTCCTGGAAGGCAGACGTGCATTTAGGAATTGGCAAGGAGTCCCTTTTTAACAGGTAGGGCCTCTCACCTTGCAGAGAGAATCTTTGTAAATGGCCGAGCCCCGTTACTAAAGGTGTTAGAACAGAAAAGGGGACAAGTCTTTTTTTTTTTTTTTTTTTAATCCTCACCCGAGGATATTTTTCCATTTTTTGTACAGATAGAGTGGGAGGGAGAGAGAGGAAAGGAGAGAGAGACAGAAACATCGACGTGAAGGGACACATCGAGTGGCTGCCACCCGCACGACCAACCAGGGCCGGGGACAAACTGCAACCGAGGTACATGCCCTTAGCGGCAACCGAACCCGGGTCTCTCCGGACCGCAGGCCGACACTCTAACCGCTGAGCCAAACCGGCCAGGGCTAAAAAAGGGGACAAGTTTGATGAGACAAGCTTTGAGGGTTTTTAATTTTCTATATTGTGGTTTTATGCCCCAGAAGGGAAGAAGGAGCAATTGTACACGCACTTTGTTAAGCACTCACTTGGGCAGAACCCTGTACCAGCAGCCAGAAGGACACAGAGGCAACAGTTTAACTAAAATGCCGGAAGAACAGCAGTGCGTTCCTCCTTCGGGCCTCCCCCTCCTCGGCACAACTGACTGCCTAGTGGTTAATACGCTTCACTGCTGCCACACTGCGTTTACGAAACTGCCTCGTACGTACCTGTTTGGTCAGTTTTCCAGGCTGACCAGTCGTGATCTGTGGCTGCAGCTGTGAAGGGCTATGTGCACGCTTCTAGGCTGTGGTTGGTCTGAGCCTTTGTTCAAAAGGAGCCAGCTCCCTTCTCACTGCTCCCTGCCACTCTGAGCGACATCCTGCTGAGCCGGGGGCGCCCGAGGAACGCAGGCTCGGGTGCACTGGGGCCATCTCTGACCAGTCAGCGCACCTTGACCTTGGTCAGTAACTACAAAAGGACTGCACCTTCGCCTAGAGGTGGTCAGAGGCTGGCAGGTGAGACCCATCCCGCTTCTTGCTGTTGCGTCTGAGTAAGCGAATGCCTTTCATTAGAATTATCACCTTTTTTTCTGTAAATCCAGGAAGAAGCATTGCAAATACACTAGCTACTAAATGATAAATATTGCCAACATGAAATGATGTATTCAAATCAGAGTAAAGAAGAGTGAGTTTGTTCCAAGAAAACCCATCTGTATCAATGTCTTTTTTTTAAAATCCTCACCGGAGGACATTTTTTCATTTTTTTGTTCAGATAGAGTGGGAGGGAGAGAGAAACATCGACGTGAAAGAGACACATCGAGTGGCTGCCTCCCGCATGACTCAACCAGGGCCGGGGGCAAACTACATCCGAGGTATGCGCCCTTAGCAGGAACCGAACCGGGCTCTCTCTGGACCGCAGGCCAATGCTCTAACCACTGAGCAAAACTGGCCAGGGCTCAATATGTCTTTTTAAATGTCCATTAAGAGAAACCAAACGGCTACAGCTGTGATTCCCAGAGAGAAATTTTGGAGAGCGAGGAGAGACAGATATTTGACCTGCTTCATATGCTTCTGTGTTCTTTCAGGTTCTCTTTTTTGCAATGAGCAAAAAGAAAAGTGTGCTCACCAAAAAGATAGCATTGGGTTTAAATTCTGATGGTTACGAGACTGCTATGTATTCTCCCAGAGAAAGCTGGGGTGGCTGGTAAACAGGAAACTTTCAGAGGCTGGCTACGGTTCTAATCTGTATTGCTATTTCCCAGGATACTACCTGCGTGTTTGGAAATGCGATTTTGTATGTGCTCTAAGAAGCAGCTGTCCATCAGTGGCATCAAAGCAACACGAAACACATTGCTAACCAGTTCCTTTCGCCCTTCGTAGATCTCATTGGCCTGTCATGGGTGTTCTTCACGTACGCAATCATGAGTCTCGCAGCCCTGGGGTTTGTGATCATGTTTATACCTGAGACAAAGGGATACTCGTTGGAACAAATATCGATGGAAATGGCAAAAGCGTAAGTATAATGTGCATTACTGCTCTCTGAACAGCACTCTTTGGTCAAAAATGCAGCTTTTATATACAACTAAATCATGATAATATCTGAAATTATTTGAGGACATTCCTTTTGGTGTGGAACCATATCTCAAAGCATACTTCCAGTTTCTCTGCCATGTATTTAGTTTGGGTGACTCAGCTAAGGGATTAGAATAGCCAGCGCTTTCTAACAAGTGAGTCTTTCAAAGCTCCTTTCAGCAATGATGAAAGAACCTCTCCCATCCCCCTTGCTTCCCCAGATGCAGGGGTTTCGGTTGTTTGTTTGGGGTTCAGGGTAGATCCTGGAACATTAGGTTCAGCATGGCTTCAATTCTTCCATCTCTACGTACTTGCCGACAAGCCCTTATTAAGGCTGAGATTATCAGGACAATTCAGGCTTAAATGTTTACAGTTATTCCAAATATGGCACAAAGTTTAAGAAAGATTAAGAGTTTCTTAGGTGAAAAGGCATTTAGAAAACCAGTTGAATAAATTTCCCACGGAGACATAGCTTTAACAATTTAACTTCGAAGTGGGCTGTAAGAAGCTTTTCTCTGCACAGCAGAACTCGCAGCTCTAACCGCTGAGACAGCCTGGGGCAGGGGGCATTCAGCGGGGCGGGAATGTAGGGGAGCTGCCCACTCTTCCTAGGGGTCAATCCTTGTACTTGAAAATGGACAGTTGTTCTTGGGTTTTAATATAATGGGAGGAAACTACATATTTATAGTTTGTTACTTTCTTTCTTTCTTTCTTTTTTTAATCCTCACCCGAGGACATTTTTCCATTTTTTGTTCAGGTAGAGTGGGAGGGAGAGAGAGGAACAGAGAGAGAGAGAAACATCGATGTGAAGGGACACATCGAGGGGCTGCCACCCGCACAACCGACCAGGGCCGGGGACAAACTGCAACCGAGGTACGTGCCCTTAGCGGGAACCGAACCCGGGTCTCTCAGGACCGCAGGCCGACGCTCTAATCGCTGAGCCAAACCGGCCAGGGCAGTTTGTTACTTTCTTTAAAGAGACTTTCTTTTTTATTTTTTTTTATTTTATTTTTATCCTCACCCGAGGACATTTTTTCATTTTTTGTTCAGGTAGAGTGGGGTGGGGAGAGAGAGGAACAGAGAGAGAGAAACATCGATGTGAAAGGGACACATCGAGTGGCTGCCACCCGCACAACCGACCAGGGCCGGGGACAAACTGCAACCGAGGTACATGCCCTTAGCGGGAACCGAACCCGGGTCTCTCAGGACCGCAGGCCGATGCTCTAACCGCTGAGCCAAACCGGCCAGGGCAGTTTGTTACTTTCTTTAAAGAGACTTTCAATACAGAAAGAGGAATGTATGATTGCTACAGAAATTGTGGGCACAGTGATCCTTCAGCTTTTACCTGCAGGGAGAATGAACCTGAAATGAAGGTAGGCGTGTATGTTCATAGACCACACTATTCACCCTGGTCTATTAGGGTGTATAGTAAGCAGGACTGTGGAACATTTTTTACTTTGTACTTTTTGCACGTTTAAATGGTTCACATTTTAGAAACGCATCACTTTAGTAAGCAGAAAAACTTTTCTCTGAATTCAAGCCCTAAGTAAAATGTCAACCTGTAGGGCTAAGTTTTGATAAAGACAAGACCCTGTTTTTAAACACTGAAATGAAAATGACACATTCACTTACAAAGAGAAATACAATGTCAGGAAGGCAGCTACTCTGGGGGTCCCAGGATGTGACTTCGTCTATGGTCTGAGCAGGGGAGGAGGACGAGGTCTGTGTCCAGGTAAGGGAGCCACGCTGGCGGTCCTGTAGCACGCCCTCCTCCCCCACTTCAGATTTTATTTATTAACTGTCTGTTGACCACCTCCCATGGACCCAGCACTGCACTAGGAAAGAACTGAAGATATAGGAGACAAAGAGTCCATTGCTTCTTTGAGAGGCAGACAAGAAAACAGACCATTGTAACACATTGCGTGGAAGGCACAGTGTATTGGAGGATTTTGCCAGAGTGGAGCCTTGAAAGAGTTTCTGGGCACAGAGGAAGGCGGGGGAGTCGGAGAGGGGTCCCACGCAGAGGCCTAGAGGCCGGTGCACTTAGGGGTGTGGGATGAAGAACGCAGATCCTGAGTGGGATCCAGAGATGAGCCAGGGCACAGGGCCGAGAGCGGGCCGGAAGGATCTTACTCGTCTTGGGAAAGAATTTGGACTCTATCCTGAAAGTAATGGGATGTGATTAAAACAACGGGGCAGAGGGGAAAAGTAACTGGATTTTTGAAGAAGCACTCCAGGGAAATCTGGGCAATGGAAAGGGGACAGGCCGAATGAGGAGACCTTTGAGGAGTGTGTGGAGGAATCAGACGGGAATCTGTGGGGCTGGTCTGGGTGCGGGGATAGAACCTACACAGCTCGGGGTTGGACTGGAAAAGGCAGCGGAGGGAACAGAGGGAACTGGGATCTCTCTCCGGCTTGGAGAATAACCCGGTATACAGTGGGGCATTCACTGAAGGAAGACGCAGAGCAGGAGAAAGAGCAGGTTTGGGAGGCAAGACTGTGGTGTCTGGTCGGGACAACAGAGCCCAGTTTGTACACTGCCTGTGAGGCCCTGTGGGACACGCCAGGAAGAGTTCACCGGGAGCTATACCTACATTGGAGAAATCGATTTGGTCCTCAACACGTAGCGTCACAAGCAGGGGCAGATCCACATTTTGTGGAGCTTAAGCTTTTGAGGGCCCAGTTTAAGAAAAATATTACAAGTTATGAATGCAAACTTATACATGACAGTGTAGCTCATGGAAGGAGCTATGCTGGTAATGGGTCCAGGGCTTGTTTCATTGGCTTTAGGGAAACACACCTTGTGTGTATGCACTTTTTAGCTACCCATCTACTAGCTGGGGGAGCAAAATCCCTTTAAAAATAAAGCTTTGTTAATCCACTCATCTACTGATGGACACTTGGGTTGTTTCCAGATCTTAGCTATTGTAAATAGTGCTGCTATGAACATGGGGGTACATATATTCTTTCTGATTGGTGTTTCAGGCTTCTTAGGGTATATTCCTAAAAGTGTGATCACTGGGTCAAATGGAAGTTCAATTTTTAACTTTTCGAGGTAACACCATAGTGTTTTCCACAGTGGCTGCAACAGTCTGCATTCCCACCAGCAGTGGATTAAAAAGCTGTGGTACATGTACACAATGGAGTACTATGCAGCTGTAAGAAAGAAAGATCTCTTATCCTTTGAGATGGCATGGAAGGACCTGGAGAGTATTATGCTAAGTGAAACAAGCCAAGCAGAGAAAGACAAATATCACATGATCTCACTTATTTGTGGAATATAATGAACTAAACAAATTGCTGAACAAAATTAACCCAGAGACATAGAGGTGGGGTACAGACTGACAAGCCTCAGAGGAGGAGGGGTTGGGGGGAAAGAGATAAACCACAGAACTTACATGCATGTATGCATGACCAATGAACACAGACAACAAAGCTGGGGATGGGGGGGGGGAAGGGGGGAGGAGGGTGTCAATGGAGGAAAAATGAGAAACATCTGTAACAAAAACAAACTAATAAAAAAAATAAAAATAAAGCTTTGTTAAAATCCTTGCGAGCAATGCTAGCTATAAAATCGAGCAGGGAGAAGGAGCAATGCATCAGTGGAAGGAAGCTGCCCTATTATCACTCTTTATCGCACTCTTTCTTACAAAATTTAACTTGAAAGCAGAATGTTCTGGATAAGTTAAGGTGAAAAAACTTTTAGATCTGTTTTTCACAGGGGGCTGTCAGATTGTAGCAAACTGCAAATGAAAAACTAAAGACAAAACTTAAGGAAGGTCCGTTTTCCCATCTAGTGGATCTCCAGAACAAGACATTCCCTAAGAACATACGATCTAAAACTGAACAAAACTGTTCAGAGTCTGGGGTGGGGAAGGAATCTCTAAATTAGTAAGACTGAATTAGGCCATGTTTTTGAAAGAAACATATTTCTGTTACTTTCGAGTCATGCAATCACTCAAACGTAAATCCAGACCCCCTCCAAGAAAAGTATAAATTGCAAAGTAGGATAGAACCAAAAGCCTAGGTCCTGTCGACCTCTAGTCAGACCACACGAGTTCTGGGAGGCTGGTATTGAAGATCAAAATCAGGTATGGGCACGGGTGCAGAGAACTATGGAAGATGAGGTGGCAAAATAATTCTGCATTTTAAACTCACGTATAGCAGCAGGAACAGCATCTGCTGGGGTGTGTGTATGCACGTGGCGGAGCCCAGTACTGATGGCAGCAAGAATCCGAGTTGCAGAAATCTTGGAGGACTCCTATTTACGCAACACTAAAGGCTGGGGCTTGTCTTAGCTTGAAGCAGCAGGTTGGCAAAGGCTTTAAAAATGAAAATGTAAGCAGCCCGAATTGTGTAGATTGATCAAAGTATGTATGAAATGTGCATGTTAAACAAGGTTCCCTGGAGGGGAATGTCAGAGACAGAAATAAAAACAAAATACGTAATGGTACTGAAAAGTTATCAAGCTAGGGAGGTAATGTGGGTGGCAGGAAGCCTGGGGAACTTGCGAGGGGCACGGAAGCTGAAGTGAACTTGAAGGCTGAGGAAGGACACCATTGAGTCAAGGGAGTCCACGCATTTAGGAGTGAAGGAAACAATGAATTAACGTTTGTCACCAGGGAAACTGATAGCCCCGATGTGATTTGCTAAGGGGTGAGAAAGGAAACTATAATATCAGTCAATTTCTAACCTGATACTACACATTGCTTAACATTTTCCTCTCTGGTATTTGGAGTTGGGTTTTTACTCCTATTCCCACCAGCCTGAGAAAACAAATATTCTTCCAAGGTTGTTAATATTTCTTATAAAATAAAGTAACTCAGCTGGGAGGTCAGGAAAGATTTCAGCAATAATGTAGTATGACAGGACTTTATTTTGAACTTCTGCCTTACATGTTACAAACTCAAAATGGGACGTGGCAACGTGTGCTATTTCAGCTGTGACTTTTCTCCAACTTAAATGGAAACATGTAGAGAAACACAAGTTCTTCTTTGGTAAATATTTTAGTTCTGGGGCCTATTTTTCACTTTTTAAAAAAATCCTCACCTGAGGATATTTTTCCATTTATCTTCAGATAGAATGGGAAGGAAGGAAGGAGGGAGAGAGAGAGGGAGAATGAGAGAGACATTGATGTGAGAGAGACACACCGATTGGTTGCCTCTCGCATGACCCGACCAGGGCCGGGGACTGAACTGCAACTGAGGTACGTGCCTTTACTGGTGTGACCATTCCTTCCTTCCTTCATCCAAATTCATTTGCTGAGCAACTATTATGTGCCAGGCATCGTTCTAGGTGCTACAATTAATCAGTGAGCAAAAATGCACTGATAAAATAGTGATGGGGGGGGCGACTTTTGATTGAGTGAGCTGAGAAATTATTCTGGGAGGTAACATTACAGATAAAATCTGGGTCCCAGCCAGCGTGGCTCAGTGATTAAAGTCCGCCCTCTCAGTGGAGGGTCTCGGGTTCAATTCCCGGTCAAGGGCACATGCCTGGTTTGCAGGTTTGATTCCCACCCTGGTTGGGGCAAGTGTGGAAGGCAACCAATCAATGTCTCTCTCTCTCTCTTTCTCCCCCCTCGCCTCCCTTCCTTCCACTATCTAAAAAACAAAAACAAAAATCAGTGGAAAAAATACCCTCAGGGGAGGATTAACCAAAAAGAAAAAGATAAAAGATAAAATCTGGATGATAACTAACAATTAAGAGCCAACCCTGCAAAGACAGGGGAGAGGAGCGTGGAGGCCCCGAGAACAGTCAGTGCAAAGGATAAAGCAGAAAGTCGGTCCAGCTGGTGTGCAGGGGTGTAAGCCGAGCGAGTTTGGGTTCATCCTAAGTGTAATGGGCGCTGCTAAAACAGTCCGAGCAGAGGAATGGCATGATCTAGTTTAGTGTCAGGCCTCCACGTGCTCCTCTGCAGTCACACAGACGAACCTGGCCGAGAAGGCACACAAGCATAGGCCTGGGTCTCATTTAAAATCGCAGACACTGACTTCAAGTGGCCCTCAGTGCTGCCTGGCCATCACACACGTCCCCTCCATTACCGGCCTCTCTGCTAGACAGCTGCTCAGTAACACCTCTCCGGACACCTCCCCCCTCCTGAGCTCTCCTGACTCCCGCTGGTGGCCTTGCTCCTGACACAGAGGGAACATCCATAACCGTCCACATCACCCCCTACGTTGGTATTTGTATCCAACACACCACCATCCCTCCCGGCTGTCTCGGCCCACGACTCCTGCTTGGGGCCGACACCTCACCTTGCCCTTCTCCAGGACATTCCCCAAGTTCTCCCTGCTCACCCCGCATCACCCAGATCTGACCTCCCGCTGGATCTCTACATCTCATTAGCATAGAAACCTGGTGTGCTTTTTTTACCCACCCTAAAAAGAAAGGTATTTTGATTCCATTTTCTTTCATGTACTAGCCATATTGGTCTTTCTGTAAGTACTTTACTTGCAATTCTTCCCTTGGTTCCCTCCCTAACTTCATTCCAGTTTCTGATCAAATGTTAACTCTTTAGAGATGCCAGCAGTATGATATAGCCTTCCACCCCCACCCGCAAATTCATTCTTTCCCCTTTTCCTGTTTTTCTCATTAGCATTTTCACTACTTGAAATTATATGCTTATGACCTTTCTCCTCTATTAAATGCAGCTCCTTGAAAGCAGGAGTCTTTTTCTTCTCTATCTACAGCACCTCCTCTAGTAGCAGGCATGTTGCAATCACTTGAATAACTGGTAAAATTCCAAAAAAAAAAAAATGTGTAATAGGGTAGAGAGGTTCAAAGGTGGACTTGTCTGTCCTTTTAAATAAATGTAAAATACTAGAGCATATTTTTCATACTGAGGGGGATAATCCTGTAGAAAAGAATTTGTTCATGCAGGAGCTAGGGAACAATGTAAAACAGATTAAGCAAATTTTATAGGCAGATTGGCACAGTTAGAGAAATGGAAAAAAAGGAGAGGATCTGGGATGGTACCTCCATAGTACTTTGCAACTCTCTCCTTGGAATTCCTCTCTGCACACAGGACTGCCCCGTGTCCTGAGAAGACACCCCACATCTTACCCTCCGCGTGAGACTGGCCAGAGTTCTGTGGTATGCTGGATTCTATGACACATCAAGGCTGCAATTAAAACATTTTTTGCAAAGCTAAAACATTAAAGCCCAGGGGGAATTTAAAAACTAATAGCCTGCACCATTTTTTTCAAGTACTGGAAACTAAGAATGACATTTTCATTCGTGCCTTTTTCTCTTTCAGGAACTATGTGAAAAACAACATTTGTTTTATGAGTCATCACGGAGACAAATTATCACCAAAACAGCTCCAAGAAGGGAAACCCCAAGAGCAGCTCTTGGAGTGCAAAAGCTGTGTGGCAGGGGATAACTTGGGCAGCTTGGTCCAGAGAACAAATAGCCTCAAAACCTTATAAATGCTGATACAGTGTAAGGACATTTATTTAGTACGGTGTCTTCATACCAACACGTTGGCCACTCCCATGTTTTGTCTTTAGTGTCATGAAGCTAATTTATAAAGATACCGTTAATCTCCACCCACAATAGGTAAATGAGGTATAAGGTCCCAAGCCTCTCTTTATTACTCCAAGCAGGATACCAGGTCAAAAAAAATACAGGCTGGTTCAACACTTTCACCTTTCAGAGAGCAGCTCTGACTGACTGACCTAGTGATGCGATCACCTTTGGCCTTCAGGTACGTACGTGTGTATAGAGGCCAGCTGCAGCTTTGCTGTTCAGACTCGTAAGTGGTCTAAACACAAGCTTAGTTGTTTGCCCACTAAGACACTGCTTGCGTTGGGTGTTATGTAAAAAAAGAACCAGGACACAATGTGGACAAGTGCACATATGTTCTAGATTAGGATAGGGTCCTGGCTAGGATTGTAGTGACAATTCCTAATTAGTTTAACAGGTACAAACATTATGCATTTTATTTTATGATCTATAATGTAATGCAAAATCTTTTATGAATTTCATATTAGTATTACAAAATAATGCAAGAAACAATTCTGTGCTGCCTGAGAAACATCATATTCCCATCCATTTAAAACATATGAATAGAAAGGACAATTTGAAAATCCTGGGACCATATTTATTTAGCTGTTAGTGAAACATTAGGAATCAGGCTATTAGGTTATTCATCCAAATCTCTAAGCAATTAGATTAGACTTTTCAAGCCAAGGTTATAAATTCTTTGCAAGGCATTCATGATACTTGAGTGACCCACAGTTGCCTGCGGTTCTTTGCACTCCTCAGGGTCATCACTACCTCTATCACCATCACTATGGCCCTCAGGCTATGACCGACGCTGACTTCCAGGTGACTACAGACATAATCAATGACATTCTGACATCAGGACAATTCCCTTACTATGTTCTTCTCTATGATGAGAGATTGCCAACTGCATCAGAACTTGGGTTTTCACCCACACAATGGGTTGCTCTCTTACGCATTTCTCCAGTTGAATTTTAAAACTTGGTGAAGCATTTTACCCAAAGAATTTTGATATGATAGAAAATCTACAGTGAAGAATCTCAAAACCACTTAAGTAGTAATTTATTACATTACTAGTGTTATAAACTATGGAAGACACTCAAAAAATATAATGAGCAACCTAACTTTAAAATGAATCCAAAAATATGATTAACCTGAAGAAAAGAGAATCCTTAGACTCAAAAACGAAAACCCTTTTTATTCAGCCCGCATCTTCCCGCTGGCTGGCATGTAACAGCCAGTTCCAAGTTTGGTACAAGGGTATATGATCCACTACATTCCCCTGCGACAAAGTGGAAGACTACCTGATGTAGGAAATGGTAACACTGTACTGTCAGAGTCTCAGAATGACTGTCGGTCCTGGTCCTGAAAGGTCCTATCTCGATGAACACGGCAGGGGAAGGTAGGGGGGCGATGGGAGACCTCATTCCGCCACGGTACATTTCACAGCAAGGTGGAGCGTGCAGTTCCCCCCATTTGTTTGTTTTGGAACAGAAAGTGTGTTCTGTAGAGGATCAATTTAAGAAATTCATTACGAATCTTCAGTGGAATTATACTGAGATTTAAAAAATATCAAGATAGGTCATCAATATAAAAGTTTGTTCTTTGCCAAACATCACAGAATATGGTAAGATATTTAACAAAATTGTTACATGCTTTCTTTGAAGTTCAAATGCTACTTTAGATATTTCTTGGTTTAGCCATTCATTGGTAATGGGCAGAAAATTGTATATAAACCTATTAGTTTATTAATAATGATTTCAACTTCAGTATCTTAAAATACTTTGTTATATTTTTCTTTTTCTATCCTGAGTTTATAACTAAACAATTCTATCTTCAAACTAATTTTTACCTGATACACCGCCAATCAGAGCTTTTAGATTTTCAAAAATAAAAAAGGGGAAATGCTTATAATTTGTATGTACATATTCACAGTTTTTATTTATAAAAACAGCACTTGTGAAAAGCCAGCGGGAGACCTCAGACCGCTCCTTCCGCACCAGCTTGGTAGGTGTGCGGGTGGGTCACGGACAGTCTGCCAGGTGACGCTCCAGGTGACGCTCCTGGCAATGGCCCTGCAACCGGACCCGTCAGATTGTCTTTCCTCCTCTTTTCTGAGAAAGCATTTTGTCGGGCTGCTCACTGATCTACCTGGTTTTCAAGTCACTCAAATACTGAAAATGCTATGACTCTGGTTACGTACCTTGGCCATATAATGGTTTTTTCTCCTTTTCCGTATTTTTTTAAGAACGCAGCAAAACAGGTCACTTATTACTATTAATTAAAACTAAGTGGAAATCTCAAATTTTTAAAACAGTCTTCACAGAACCTCTAACTTCTTCATTGAATTTTATTCTCTATTTTATGATGCTATCTATCCTACTGGAACTTTAAATGAAGCAAATAAATGTGAAAAAAAGAGAAGTCTGAAAATCACAAGTTTTTCACAAGAAAATAAAAAGTTAGCCTTTGTCCCCTGCTTATGAGGGGGAGACGGTAGGGGAAGGCATTAAGAAGATAAAACTAAAATAACATGTGCAGTGCTTAAACTGAGTTTTCAATGTTTTATAATATGGTGAGGAAAATACTAGAATATGGAGGTTAAGATGTTACAATTTTTCATGGGTTCAAATCATTTGGGAAATTCAGGCTGTAGGGGAAAATTATGTTGGAATATTCTCTACTGGAGAAGTAATTTGTTTCTGGACTAAGTTTTATTTCTAAGTGAAAATCTGCTGATTATACTAAAGCCCTGAACACATGTGGCAGAGCACAGGGAGGCGTGCTTCTGCCGTACCATCCCAGGTTCACAAATACACACATATTATAACCTGAAGGGTAGCCATCCTGTACACTCAGTAGGTACTCTTCAATCCATTACATAAGACACGGCAAGGGGAAAGACATATCTTGCGAAACGGTTTCAAGTTCAAGGTGAACTAGATGATGATGATACTGTGACACAGAGGCAGCTTGTGGACACTTCTTGTTAAAACAGCAAGACTCAGCTGCCTTGAGCGCCAGCCTGAGGTGACCACCTTCCTACAGCTACAGGTGAGTCTTTCCGAATCCAAAGGTACATCTGAGGCACAACCCATCGCAGCTTCTTTTTCATATCCATCTTGTAAGAAGTTTCTCTTCTCGAAACTACAATTTTATAACTTTTCAAATATTTAACATTATCATATTAAATTAGCAACATAAAACATTATGCTTAATCTATTAAGTTCTACTGTGGTTCCCTAGAATTTGTATTTCTAATTTGAAAAAAAAATTCCTGTTTGATATTTGGTAACACAGCATTAAAAGATACCATATACATGTGGCATATATATATATATATTTACAAAACATACTTCACACTTTAGCAAAAGTTAAGCTTGCATAGATTTAAAAAACGTATGAATACAATTTTTATTAAAATAGAAAATGGGGAATAAAGTTATAGAATGGATATGAAGAGAGACCTTTTCCAAACTTTATTTATGCACATTCAATTGAAAAAGATAACTTTTACAGGTTCTTTGGTGCCCATATTCAGCATACAAAAATGTAAAAGACTATTCACAAATAAAACACATTAGCTCAAACTGGAAAAAAATAACAAAACTAAGGTCGTGCACACTGTGACAGCTCTGCTTATGGGGACACGAGAATCACTGCGAAAATAAATAGAATGTCCTTCTGTGAAAGCAGCAATGTCATGTCTTGTAAACTTCCTTTTCGTATTACAGCAAAGATTGAAATAAAATCCAAAGAGACTGGAGCTTACACTGTCGTCGTGAATGAATAAAAGAGTCTATTTCCTCAATTACGGTTGGTCCAGTTTTCCTTTTGTTTTGAGTCCAATGTGCAGCAGGTTTTAAAAGGTGCTCAGTTAGGGATTCTAACCAATGAAGTGATGAATTATAAAATTTCTTTCCTGCTTTCAAACACAAATGGGTAAATCTGTTCCACAGCAGTAGCAACAGCCTTTACGTTGGGCCCTGTAACGAACACAGTGGAGGAAGAGGTGAGAGGAGGCAAAGAAAGCTCATTCCTCACACGTCAAAACATCCAAGTAGTTTAGGGATTATTGTTTTTAAAAAATCTACACACACAATTATACACAGAGTCATAATAAAAACCGAGAGAATACATTTTTGCCTGGACAATGAAAAGCTGAAACAAAAATGATGTCATTCATCTTGTGTCAGGGCACCAATGTGAAGAGAGTGTGTATAAAAACTGCACACGAACTATCACAGAGGAGAATGAAAAGTGCTATAGTCTGCTCAGTAAAGGAAGAAATGACAAGTGGCCTAGAAAACGATTATCCCTGTCACTGCAGTCTGGCTTTTGGTTAGGCTACGACGGAAGCTCGAAGGAGTAGCGAGAACCCAGCAGAGTAACAAAGCTGCTTCCAAAGTGTTGGGAAACCAGAGGTATCAACTGCATGGTCTAAAATGCCCAGACTGACTACTACTTGGCAACAACGTGTTTACTACCAATCTGGCCATCTCACCCTCACAGCTTAGGCAACAGAAAACAAAAAAGCACGTGGAATGAGGCGACTATACATATTAATTATGTAACACCAGGAATAACTTTAAAAATATAATCTTTCATTTAAATATCTCAAAAGAAACATAAAAGTGGACCATAAAAATATTTTCATAAAATTTATTTTGAATAAAAATGGTTTCACTAACTCTACTAACCTCCTTTGAAGGACCCTAAAAAATATACATACGTACCTGCTGTGCATTCTGACGGTACTGACTATGTCTTATGCTGGTCCACTCCTTCCTGACTCAGTTCACCCCCTAAACATAGTACAGTGTTTTTCCCATGGGAACCACTGGGTATTCACTGAATTGTTATAACAGCTCATAAAATATTCCAGATGTAAATATATAATTAGCCAGGTCAATTGTCTTCAGCTTGCTATTGTGCTGTTTAATTATCTACAAACTCAATAAAAGATAGATTTTCTATATGCCTTGTTTTATTCTATCCTTAGCACAGACCTATCAGTAGACTCTGGGGCCCCTCGGAAGTCTGGGTTCCAAGTATAGAAAGAGCTGAAAGAAGGGAAAAACAGACTTGTTCCTCACCACTCCATCTCGAAGATTCAGGCACAGCTCTGGCAATCAGCTTTAAAAGTTTCGAGGTAGGTGTGAAAACCCATGGCATGAGTCAAAACCAAAACTTACTTGTTAGGCATTTAAAGATGTTAATAATTTTTATTCTCCTTTAAAGATTGAGGGAATAAAAAGAAAAACTTAAGGACACTAAAGAACTTTCCCTTAACACAAGCAGGCCAAAAGTTGGGCCTGATTCCCAAGTAATGTCTATGTATAATTTGTAACTGTAGTACCTGTAAAAATCATCCTGCATGGCTAATCCTACCTTTGACACCTAGGCCTAGTGTTCTGAAACCATCCCTTCCAAATACTTGACTCAATAGATACAACAAGTACACATAATATGTAACAGATAGATACCAATTATACTTATATATTTTGCTTATGTAAAACCATTATAAAGTTCATATTATGGGAGTCTCTTATTTTAAATGCAAGATATCATAAATTAAAAAATCATATTACGAAAATCAATACTAGAATATTCTTAATAGCTCCAAACTGGCAACTGTCCAAATGCCTGCAGACAGTATATTCCCTCACTGGGCACTGCACAGCCATGAGAATGAATGACCTACAACTACATGGAACAATATGGATGGATCTCACTAGGGTAGTAATCAGTGAAAGAAGAGACACAAAATAGTATATTGTAAGATTTTAAAACAGTACATAAAAGCAGGTAAACTAATCAACGGTGTTAAATGTCAGGAGATGAGAATGGTTCCCCTTGAAGGGCAAGTGACTGATGGGGACAAATTAGACAGAATTTCTACTTTGGTATGGGCACCACGTATCTCATTCAATATGTAACTGACAAGTTTTGTTTTGTTTTTCTTTTATCCTCACCCGAGGACATTTTTTGATATTTTGTTCAGATAGAGTGGGAGGGAGGGAGGGAGAGAGAGAGAGAGAAACATCGATGTGAAACGGACACATCGAGTAGTTGCCACCCCTACAACCCAACCAGGGCCGGGGACAAACTGCAACTGAGGTACGTGCCCTTAGCGGGAACCGAACCCGGGTCTCTCGGGACCACAGGCTGACGCTCTAACCGTAAGCCAAACCGGCCAGGGCGACAAGTTTGGTTTTAATGTCATAAAATACCTGTTACTGTGATACTTCCTGTTGAAAAAATCTGTAATGTAGCTCGTAGAGATTTTATCCGATAGCACACAGCAGGATGAAGTTCAGGTTCATAACTAAACAAAGAGAGTCACAATATAAATATTTATAGCCTGACAAGTATTTTCACATTTGGTAAATTAATCTTGATTTTTCAAAGACCCACCTGGCATGAGGTCTATTGTTCTTTGTGAATTCTGGCAAACGGATTTCAAATGGCATGTTACACACCGCTAAAACGTTAACAACCTTAAAATCTGTAAATATTACCTTCAGGAGAGAAATAAAACTCAATGAATTATTTTGAAACAAACAAAAAAATCTGCTCATCAGAGAAATCTTAAATAATTAATAAGTTTCAATCCCTAAAAATAAAAGCAAATAAATAAAACAAATATCTTAAGCATGGACCCAGTACTTTAAGTTATCAGTGACTCATTAAATGCTATAATTCAAGAAAAAAAAAATCTCAAAAACTTCATTAAGAAAATATTGAGATATTTGCATGATAACAGTTCATCTTCGGTCTTTTGAATCTCATGTTTAGTTTAAATTTTTGATACTTTAAATGGGATATTTAGTCTAATGGGATAGGAGAGCAAACAGAAAAACAAAACAAAACACAGACTTCACGAGTCAAAATGGAAAAGCACCGAACTCCAAAGTTCAGACTTTTTCTTATACGCAGTAAGGTAAAATGATATTTCTGTGAGCTTAGATGTTTGTTTTCTTTAGAGGGACAGAGTGAGGGATAAAGTGATAAAACTGTGCTTTTCACTCACTGGGCTTTCTCTCAACATTTCTAATTGTATGCTAGGACAAGAAGTTCTAAGGCTAAAAATAATGTCCTCTCAAATTAATAACTTCAGCAACTGCTATGAATGTCCTGAATGGTTTTATCTTATCATCTTTTCAAATGTTCCTGGTAAAACCACAGTTCTGGATAAACTAACCACGCTGCAACTCAGTACCCACACGAGACCATTGTCGAAAGCCATACAGCGGTGCAAAGTGGCAGCAGCACTAATGGCCTCCCCACTGCCACGGGCCGGGCACCGACACTCCCGCGCCCCTCACCGATCGACTCCCCGTCACTGCCCATCCAAATTCCCAACCGCCTAGGCTCCCCTCTTCATGGACTGTAGCTCATCTTTATCTTTCTTTCATTTCTTCATTATTTGCAAGTGACCTAGCAAGTCCATAATATATATGTTAATTTTTTCAAATTTATGCCTCTACAAAATTATATTTGATGAGGTTAACCTGCCAGTGATGGTCACTGTACAAGTGTGAGAGCCTGCCGACCAGTGTATACAGTATAAGTATAAGCTCTACTTATCCTGACACACACACACACACACACACGCAAAAGCAGGTTTACAGTTGTCATATAGAAAAAGACATACAGGTCATCATTATGATAACAGTTACAAACTCAAAAGAATGTCACAATGGCACAGCGCACTTAGGTACAATCTCTTAAGTGCTCAAACTGCTGGCCTTCATTTACACATTCTTGTAGTGTACCTGCCACACTCACACACACTCAGGCACAGTGTTCTTCACGGTCATCAATGTCCTGATATACTGTAAACCTACTTTTGCCAACCCCTGCATACATACAACACTCTTGAAATAATCAGAAACATGAATATGTGTTTTTTATTTTGGGGGGTGGTTGATTAAAAGTGAAAAACTAAAGAGTTAAAAAGTCGTTAACTTGTAAGAATACAAGTCTGTGTCTCTCTTCAAGAAAGAATTTGAGAAAAAGCCAGGATCCTTTAAAAATACCCACATGGACAAGTGTTACTACTAAATTTTACATTGAAGAACAGTATAAAAAACCTAGAATAGATCAATCATGAGTAGTTTCTGTAGTGATTTCTTTAGTCTACTAAGTCCAAAATTTTAACTTTACAAAAATAATTCCTTGAATATTTGCAGTTTGGATATTTTTTGAAAATGTTACCTGAAAACCTAGTTTCTGCAGACTGCGGGCTAAACGTCTGGCACCAAATTTAGCTTCTTCTTCACTACGGTTTTAAGGAAAGAAAAAGATTATTATACAGGAAATCAATTTTATACTGAGGAACATGACAAACTGTACATATAATTTTGTTTCTATGTCTACAAATGTTCCTGCTATGAGGGAGGGGAAAACTAAAATTAAAAACCCAACTAAAATTCACCTTGTTGCTCCAGTGCAAATAATTTTTCCTGAGGACCAAATTGTAGCTGTAATTCTAGGTTTTCTAAGTTTCATTAATACTTTCTGGAAAAAAAAAAAAAGAGTACATAATAAGGATTAATTTTCATACATTCTTCTACTCTATGTGGCTACTTTATGTTTAAATACTACTCCAAGATTACCCAAGATCAAAATAATGGTTCTCTAAATCAAGTACCATACTGAACAAAAGAATCTATTCATCCAAAAGGACATTCAATTAATTAAAAATACATGGGCTGTATAAATTCCACCAATATTTGAAATCAATGAACTACCAAGTATGTAAACATGTCATCTCTCATTCCACTCCACTGATGTAACTAACTGCAATTTATAATTAGTCTGGATCCTCAAATATGGCAAATGTGTTCACATCTCAGAAGCTTTGCCGTAGCAGTTACTTTCATCCGGAATGTTTTACCTTCATATTTTCATTTCATTCAAGTTTCTCACCAGATTTCACCTCCAGAGAGGCGTCCCTGACTATTCCACCAAACAATCATCTCCATCATCGCTCTGTAAATTCGAACCCTGCTTTATTTTGCTTCATGGTATACATCACTCCTTTATATTGTCCTACATTTAAAAATTACATATTCTACTTCCATATGAAAATTTTGAAAGCAGGAGAAAAGCTGGAGCCAGAGATGTAATTTCAGATTTCTCGGATATGAGAGGCATGTAAAGCCATGGGTCTGAATAAAACCACAGTGAATACAAATAGGTCAAGAACTAAGATCCAACATAACACGTGAATTTTAATTTTCATTGTAACTTTTCATTTATGGAAATATTTATCATATGTCCATTATGTATAAGAGATAAATGTTTACTGAATAATGTAGCACAAACAAATCAGACATTTCTCCTTAAACCTCTTGTTACATTCTGAGGTCTGCCTTTTCTCTGTCATGTGCCATATTTTCAAACTTGAAAGCTATTCAATTTGAGAAGACAAAATTTAATGAAGATCCAGAATGAAATTTGAGCTAAAACGTGTTATAAAATTCAAACACTAGTGGCTGCAAAGCACTAGACTGAGTTTATTCCACATCATTTGTCTTTACCAGCAGTTTGTCCGTCAATCAGCTCTTCTAGTTAACCTTCCTAGGCACACTGACTTCTCTGCCACGTGGTAATGGTGAAAGTTTCAAAGTAGCATTAGGCAATTTCCTCTCTAAACTTTTAAGCAGACATATTTATTCCTTTTTTAAAATGAAGATAGTATTATTGATGAACTTGAAAATCTTTGTGAGTCACTGAAAATTTTAATTGATTTTAATTAACCTTTACTTAGTTTCTAGTACTAAGAACTAATAATAATTTACCTAGCTATACTGGCATCTAATTTTTAGAGCTTAAATAAAGTCTTCATATATATATTCTTAATTTTCATAAAAAATATATAAGATATATATCTCATCATTCTTTGGTTTATAAAAGCCAAATGAACACCTGTCATTTATAATGTTAATCTCAAAACACTATGGTTAAAAGCAAGTTATCCACTTTTATTTTCAATATTATGGGTTTAACAAAAACTACAATTTGGAATGTACAGGTTAAAATATGAACCATATTTTCAGCAATTTGTTACTACAGAATACCAACTATCTTGGCTAATTAAAGAGGGCTACGACAACAAACTACACAATTTACTACTTACCTATATCTATCTATCTTAGGGCATAATTCAAACATAATTATATTTAAATAAATATACACAAAAGTATAAAAGTCTCCTTCTTCAGTCAAAAAAAGACCTAAGACAACAATATCAAATGTCTAGTAGCCAGTGAGCTCTTTGGTAAGGCTTGGGGACAAGTGTCTCTGAAAGCTGCTGCTTCATGAGAGGAGGGGCCACTTCCACAGGGTTCACTGTTGTCTCCAGCACAACTAGCACATGGTTCGGTGCTCAGAAACTATCTTAGAATTAATACATTCCAGTACAGCACTCATAGCACCATACAATTAGGCTATGTGGCATACATAACAAAGTTCCGATACTTACTCCAACATCACGCTTATATATTACATTTGCTCCCTCCAAAGCAATCTTCCTCAAGTTCAAATGGCATCTTGTTCTAAAAACACAGACTACATTTGTAATTAGAATGTCCAATGCAACATCACTGTCTGCATCCATTGGAGTAGTTTAAAACAGCTTCCCACCACGAAGATCACATCCTGAGAAATAAAACAAAATAAAGTAATTAAACTTCAATGGTTTCTGAATTTTTCACAAATAATCTTCCAAACTGAAATGCAAAAAATAAATCTGTATTATTTATTTTTAAATGTTATTCAAATCATGTCCCTTCTTTTCCCCACTAAAAATGCCATTTTATAAAAGATACCCATATCATATAAAATCTAACTTTCATTCTATAAATTTAATAAGTAACTCTGTCATGCCAGGAGGCTGCCAGACTTATCTCCTGCTACCTGTCTATACAACCACTATGTTCCAGGTGTATCTCAGTTACGGCAAGTCTCCAAACATACCAAGTTCAAGGGCTGGACTTTGTGGTTTCAATGTCTAATCATTAATGGTACTTAATGGTACTACAACCCATCTCTTACTTGCTAGGGCTATAAAAAGGATGACCCATTTTTCCTTTATTTTGAGTAATTGACAAATTTAAAGAAGCAAAAATATTATTTATAACATCTATAAACAAATTTCTCTCATTTACCTGTCATTCATTCATCATTTACTTACTGAACACCTACTATACACTGAGGATACTGGAAAAATAAATGAGTAAGGCCAAGTCTTTTGTCCTAAAGGGCGCGTGTGTATAAGGAGGAGCTCTAACAAAGAGTTAGCACAACACCATTTTTATCGGGATTGCAATCTTCCAAAATATATATCTTTTCAAAACTACTAATAGGAGCATTTCCATAAACAAACAAACAAAATGAGTCCTAGTTGTTCTAAGCATAAGGCCCATATTTCAGCTAAAAAAAATCTGAGTTACTTTCCACATCTTAAAGAAATAAGTAAATGATAAATCAGCTTACCTAATTTACAAAGAGAAAACCAGAAAACAGCAACAGATTCAAATCATATGATTAAAACAATGAAGATGCCAAGAGTCCAAATAAAGAAAATTCCATTTTGTTCTCCTGCCTGTCTCGGTACATTAGAATACAATGACAAGTCAGACCAAGGCTTCTAGCACCTCCACAGGATCACACCACATCCAATTCTGGGTATCAACTGCACCTCAATTTCGTTGTAGTAGTATTTTCTCTCCTTTATGCTCCCTTCAATCTGCTTATTTTCTTGTTTTTCTGTTCTTTGTGTATATTTAGGCAACCTTGAATAATTCTTATGTATAAAGTGTGGGGTAGGGGGTGGAAGTTGGCCCTCATTAATAGCTATCTAGATAGATTAATAAGCAGAGGATAGAGGCAGTTATCAATACTGAACTTAAGCAGCAGGCTCAGTATCTGATGAACTACTTACTAGTTTTGAGAACTTGGGCAAGTTATGCAATCTCATTGTGCCTTGGTTTCCTCATCTGTGACATGTAATAATAGACAGTGCCTAGGAAATAGTGTTGTGGAGATTATACAAAATGTATGAAATGTACTTAGCACACATATCTGGGAAAAAAATAACACAAAAACAACAGTGATTATGAATAAAATAAGTTCAAATCAACGGGCAGCACAGAGATTTTTTAGCATCAGTTCCCATGATTATAAATGTGAGGTAGAGACTCCTACTTGCTCACCCCAAGACATTCCATCCTTCCTTCACAAGGAACAGAACCCAGATGTCTAGCTGCACACATTGTGGCAGAAATAAAATACTATATTTTTCAGGCTCCAGGGCAAGAGGTACAGCCAAAAAGCCACATGACTCTGCCTGGCCAATAAAATGTACAATGAAATGGTTTTGTGTCTTTTGGAAAGTCTGCTTAGAGGGACTGATCTAAGCCAGCAAAAAATCCCCTTTGCCTTTCTGTCCTTCTTCATTCTTGCTGCCTGGAGTCTAGATCATGAGATTATGAGGTAAGGATGGTAGAGCAGTTAAAACAAAATAAGTCTGAGTCCCTGATGCTGTGAAAAACTCCTTATTACCCCTGTACAAAGTTAATTCAGATTTCATGAATATGAGAGAAAAATCAATTTCTATGTTAAGCTTCTCATGTTGGATTTCTGTTCAGAGTTGTATGCAGCCAAACCTAATCCTAATTGACAGGCATCCCATGAGAATAAACTACAAAAAAAACAAAAACAAACACTATCTAAGGAGAAACTACATATAAAGAAACTGTCAAATTTACTGCTTCACAGTTTTTTATACCCTACAGGCTCAAACAAATTCACTCAGATCTACTTCTCTGAGTATTAAACTAGTGAACTGAGGAGAAAATTCAAGAATAATACACAGGGTGAAAATAAGTCAAGATAGAAGGGGTAAAGCAAATCTTTGTGAATGCAAAGAAGCCTTGAAATTCAAAATAGATGACTATTTTTATACTTTAGCAACTTAAATTCTAAAAATGAGGTCACAGACATAGTTCATGGTAAGTATGTACTTATATATCGATACAGCCAAAATGTTAACAATTATTCTGTTTAAGAAAGTTGGCATCTGAGTGACTTAAAATTTTTTTTTTCCCTGGTGGGTTTGGCTCATTAGTTAGAGCAACGGCCTGCAGACTGAAAGGTGGTGGGTTTGATTTCCGGTCAAGGGCATGTACCTGGGTTGTGCGTTCGATCCCCAGTTCCTGTTGGAGGCAGGAGGCAGCCAATCAATGTATCTCTCTTATGTCAATGTTTCTCTCTCTCTCTATCTCTCTCTCTCTCCCTCTCCCCCTCCCTCTCTCTCTCTTTTCCATGCTATCTACAATCAAATGGAAAATATCCTTGGGTGAAGATTTAACAAAAAAAAAAAAAAAGTTTTTTTCTTCTTCTCTTGTTTTTGAGTCTAGATTTTTCTTTTTTAAAATACCAAATAAATATTAGATTTACTATAAGAAAAACAAAGTCAAATATATCTTTCTAATAAAAATCCAAGTTCGCTCTGGCTGGTTTGGCTCAACGGTCAGAGCGTTGGCCTGCAGTCCAGAGAGACTCAGGTTTGGTTCCCGCTAAGGGCATGTACCTCGGTTGCAGTTTGTCCCCGGCCCTGGTTGGGTCATGTGGGTGCAACCACTCGATGTGTCCCTTTCACGTCGATGTTTCTCTCTCTGTCGCTCTCTCCCTCCCACTCTATCTGAACTGAAAATGGAAAAATGTCCTTAACTGAAAATGGAAAAATGTCCTTGGGTGAGGATAAAAAAAAAAGCCAAGTTCAAAATTGCAGCTGTCCTAACTTCAGGAAATGTTATATTTCTAGCTTTCATTAAAAGGCATTATAGAAGATGAAGCAACTTCTTCCTCGAACCATGATTTTACAGACAAGAACACATCCTGTTCTTTAGGTCCCCTGACTTTCTAGTGGTATTTAAAAACATTCCTTCAGCAACCTGTAACCTTGCTTAAAGCATCACCTGGAAAACACTGCCACCTCCTGGCTTTTAAAACAAATTGCACACAAGACTACTACATTTTAAATTCCACACCAGAAGATATTTAAATTGAAAGGCTACGAATACTGTCATAGAAACAAACAAAAATCACTCCAAACTCTAACTAAAAGCACCCCCTCAAATTAAATAAACCTGAGAATAGAAAAGTAGATTTTAGCTACTTAGAGTGTATTCAGATTGCATATAAAGATACTGAGGGAGGGGTCCGAAAAGTTTAACCGCAAAATTAGCCATGATTTAAGAAATGGCAGCCCTGGCCAGTTTTTCTCAGTGGTTAGAGCGTCAGCCAATGCACCAATGAGTCGCGGGTTTGATTCCCGCCAAGGGCACATACCTCGGTTGCGATAAGTCCTTGGCCCTGGTCGGGGTCGTGTAGGAAGCAACCAGACGATGTGTCCCTCTCACATCGATGTTTCTCTCTTTCCCTCCCTCCCACTCTATCTGAAGAAAAGCAGAAAAATATTCTTGGGTGAGAATTAAAAAAAAAGAAATGGCAGAAGAGGAACTGGATATAGGCTAATTTGCCAACACAACATGAACCCATGTGGTCTCCTAGGGATCATTCTTTTCTAAAAGTAAAACATGTCATTTAAATCCTCTTCTTTATAAAATTCCCAAAATAGCAGATTAGGAAATAGACATTTTATGTGGTGATTCCAGCTGATTACTATACTTGACATCTCTCAATACATGCCTGTGACCAGGATGGAGAAAATCAAACATTTTGCCTTTGAGAAAGAGGGTGCTCTTTCACATGTGTTTAATCGTACAGTATATACCTTACTTTTCTGGAAACTGGTAATAGTATCACTGTACCTCCCAGAGTGCTTCTAAGGACTCCATTTAATTATCTATGTTAAGTGCACAGCATGCAACATGTTTATTAAATGGCAGCTATTACTATTTGATAGATTCACATAGTTGAATATTGTAACTAAACAGTATTAAATGAATTGATATAAAGCCTGAGAACAGTCACATTAACAGAGAAAACCAAGATCTAACAGGTCAGGCAGGAGTCAGCAAACTACAGCCAAAGGGCCAGTGCTTGTTCTATAAAAAAGGTTTTATTGAAACATAACCATGCTCATGTGTTTATGTAATGGCTATGGCACAGCTGAGCAGTCTGACAATGACTAAATGACCCACAAGCCTAAAATACTTACTATCTGGTCTTTTAGGAAAACATTTGCTGATTCCTGGGCTAGCCCAATGAGGCCATATCAATAAAATAAAAATTTAATGCTGATAAATGTAAAGCTCACATTTTTATTAAAATGATCGAAACATCTGTATATCACAGTCCTTCACTGGATCCTAGGTTGAAAAGAACAGCTATAAGAGATATAGATCCTGAGTAATAAATGTTAGTAGGAAATTATTGGTAATTTTGCTAGGTGAAAGAGTGGTTATGTAAACAAATATGCTTATTTTTTTAGAAATAGGCATTGAAATATTCAAGGGGGAATGTCCTGTCTGTAATTTACTTTAAAATACAAGTATTTTTCACTATCTGACCTCAGTAATAAATAGATTTGGATAAAATTTCAGATGACTCTCTTGGTATCTGGAATCTTGCCAAAGGAACCAAAAAAATTTAGATAATCTATTCAGAATAGATATAGAGAGTGGCTTTATTGTATTTTAAGACAAAAAAAAGTCACATTACTGCTTCATGTCTTAACAACTGTTAAATCGAGGTGACAGGTAATATACGAGTGTCTGTTCCACTCCTCTCCCTACATCTGTCTGAAAATGTCCATGATGTTATAAAGAAAAAGACTTTTCTTCACAATAGGTCACACAATAAGTACTTGATGTACAAAATCATCATAAAATTAAGCAGAAAGTTATAAACTACGTTCATTACATGTCTCCAACTAATGTATCTCTGACTCACTCTAAATACCAATTCTGAAGACTGGTAAGCAAGTACCATTCAAGTGAATAACTTGCATCAATATAAAGTGTTATTTAAAAACATCTATATTAATAAAACTATAAAAAAAGTTAATGGAAATTAATTAACAACAATAACTCTGAGGGTTACCAGTAAGTATATATTTTAAAAAATAGTAAAGAGGAGTGTACTTTACGCTTCAGTCTATAAAAACATCTGTAACTGGCACCTCAGAGGTGGTGAAGAGACTGGGAGCGATGCTGATTTCTGAATGAGTGCTTAAGGAAAGAGAGGTCAGTGGTTTACACTTTCAGGAAGAAGTCCCAGTTGAAAGAGAATGAAGTGTTTGGCAATTTAACAATGCATAACCTAATACCCATCTCATATTCATAACGTTTAAGTAGCAGCCTGCTTCAGAATCTCACTCTCAGAATGTGCTCCACTGCGCCTGCGCCGGAAGAAAACCTGGGTGTGTAAGACGCGGCCCCACTGGAAGCGGTGTGACGACTCCGAACCGCTCCGCCTCACGCGGGACGCAGCCCACCACTGACTCCACGTAACTGTTCTGAGGGGTCAAGGAGCACCGCACAAATTCAGTATGCTCTATTACAGTGAGGTCATATTAATCAGTGCTAACATTAAAATATTAATTTTAACTAATGTCTAATTACAGATAACAAGAAAAAAAAAGTGTTATTTTACTGAATATAACCTGAAATTTGGGGAGTCAAACTAAAGATGAGAATTTTAACATATCAATTCCTTCTGTAAAAGCAAAATTCTGGACAGATTTAGTATTTCAAATAAATGTTTTAACATATGACTTTAAAAGAAGATAGCATGTCATTTTCTGATTTCATAAGAAATACTCAAAGAAAAAGTCACCCATAATCCCACCACAGTGATAATCAGTAAATTGGCTATGCTTCTATAGACACGTTTTGAGGCTAAGTCCACGTATTTATTTGTGCACATGACACAAGATCGGGGTCACATGTATATGCTGTCGTATCCAGTCAGCAAAGGGTTTGTAAAAATCTTTGAAAACCTGATATAAAAAACAGCAAGAATGAATTGATTGATTTTCCTTGTATGCTAAAGAGGGTACATTTTTCAATTATTGCTAACTAGTATTTATTGTGTTAACTGTCTC